TTAGTTTGGGAAAACAAGTAAATAATAAATCTATATAAATAGGGAACCGATGTTATCGATCATTGGCAGAGTAAAGGCTGTCGAAGGACACCATTCAGTCGCTAATAGGATTAAGGGACAAAGGACATAAATTATTTACTTTAGCACCGGAAACCATCCTATAAATCCCCACCTGCGGGATTTATATCTCGGAGAAAATAACTACGTTGTTTACACTCAACTTCACACCGACTTCCGTTCGCTGAAACTAACATAGTTACCTTTTTACTTATGAACAAAATAATAGATTATTTTTGTAACTTACTAATACTATTTTATTATTATTTATTATATCTTCTAATTTATTTTTTTAAATTGAATAAATTTTAATTTTTTAATGAAACGATACAGGCTTCTTAAATAATTTTTCATAAGTTGAAAATTAGAAAGTAGCCATCTAGATATGCTGAAATAGCGACGCAACTTCTGCAATTCCAGATGCGTTACCTACATTTTCATGTTACTTATTAATCTAAAAACATTCATATTGTTATGTATTTACCAGTAGACAAATAAGTAAATAGACACGTAGATCTTTACATTATTATCCTAGTAGATAATTATTTATAGTTTTCGATTTGATAGAACGTAGCTAAGTTATTTATAACTTGAATACTGAATTTTAAGCTTTAGAATATAATTTATGTATGGCTTTGTAATCAACATATCAATTCCATGTTACTGTAACATGTAAATATGTTTGCGCGTTGATATACGTATTAGATGTAAATAAAGCTCTAGTTTAAAACGTATGTTTCAATACTACTAATAAAATTACAAGGTACAAGATGTAGCGTTTACATTTAATTTTCATAAACGCATTTAATGTTAGAAATTTATTTATTAGATTGATCTAAAAAGAAGAAGTATTACAGTTATACGAATGATTTTTGATGACAATTTAACTAAATATTTGTCTACTACAGAAGTCTAGCATTTTTTTTTATAATATAAGGTGACAGACGAGCAAGCGGACATCTGAATCCACCGAAATGAAAAGCGACCGCTGCCCATGATCATCCGCAATTGCAGATGCGTTGCCTACCCTAAATTGACGGAGGAGGAGACGCACATAGAGATGACATTTCCCTTTCTTATGCGTCTCCTCCACCGTCAAATCCACTTCTCCTTCCCATCATTTCCTCTTAAGAAAACGGTGAAAAAGGAAAACGTCTAAAATTAGGCCTCCGGAACCATACTCATTAGACGAAACGCGGGATTGCTTCCACTTCACGTCTGTTTTCTGTGTGGTCGTGGTATTACACCAGGCGAGCCGGCCTATTCGTGCGAAGATGTTAAAGCAGGCTCTACCACTGTAAAGCCTAATGAGAATACAATTTTACGTGTACCTTCTTTTAGGTTACAATGTGGTCAATTTGCTTAACTAAGCCACTTCTTTCAATTCTTGTTCCTTTCATGAGATTTATATTGTTAGTTCTCGATTGGCCTTAAAATAACGATTTAAAAAAGGCTGTAGTAAAAGGTAAGTAAAAAACGCAACAAAAAAATTGTTACGAAAATATTAAAATCGCTATCGCTTATGAATTAATGCCTCAGAAACCGTAGCGTCGAATTTCTGGTACTTTACTCAATGCCCCTGGGACATGTTTTGTCGGTATATCGCATTACGGAATACTGTTCAGTGGAGTTTATACTTTTTATGCTAATTAATAAATAAAAATACCTTATTTCCTGGTGAAGGTTTTTATTGGTTTTTCAATTTCATTTTTAATTTTTTTTTTTAGTTTTAGATAATTTCAATTTTGAGTTAAATTATTATATTAAATAGTACGATTTTTTTCTCTATGTAACACACAATACAATATTAATAGCTTTTTGCCAATTCTGTGCCGGCGTGTTTTTTTTAAACAAAAGTAGCCTATGTGTTCTAGACATCTTTGCCTTTCGTCGAGATCCGCTTAACCTTTTAGGCTACAAACTTTAACAATCATCCATCCACCAAAACTTCGCATTTATAATATTAGTAAAATGATGATGTTCTCTGTGACGTAATCCATCTAGTGTGAATCTTGCTATATAGATTTCACGTACAAACAAGGTTCGTGTAAAAAAGCAAAGTTGATGGCTAAAGGAGAGTGTAGTGGAAAAGGTCCCAGGCCGTATCTAAATAAAGATTCTCAATCGACGAAAGCTTTTAAGAGATGAGACACTGTTGAACTATCGCGGTTCGAACTTAAAGGCATTTTCAATTGAATCCAGCTTCTGTTTGATTTAGTTTATCGATTAGATACAAGACTGGGAGTAAGATTATTCTAGACTAGCTGTTCCTATGCGACTTCATTCGCATAAAATTATAAATTTCATTTTATTGTTCACATTTGTCAAATTATCAATTGCAAATGACAAAATGACAGAACATGATGTCAAAACATGGCAATCTTGCATCCTTGATGTTGGCAGCAACTTATGGTCTCTTTCCCATATTAGGGTTTTTATCCAAAATATTTCCTCCCTAAGTTAAATGGCGTTAAAATATAGCCTAAAGCGTGACGTAAGTGTAGGGTTTTTTATTAAAAAAATAATTATTCAAAAATATGCTGTAATTGCTGACATCTTAGGCAACAAAGAAGTATGTGTACGCTTTATTATATTAGTATAGATTAAATACAATTTTAATCAATAAATTAGTTACACATTTCAGTTACTTTCTCCCCTTTGATAACATCCATACAGTTACTATTATTTTCCGTAGTTATTAATTAGAAGGACTAGACGGCTAACGTTCTCTTGAGATAATTATATCGAATCAAATTGAATGTTACTTAAAGTTATGTAGGTTACGTTACAACAATAAATGTTGTAAAGAGGAAACATTTGGATTTTGTATGTATTGAATAACTAAAAATCACTCGGCGGATTTCAAACGTTCTTTCACCGTTAGAAAGGTAATTTATCTGTAAGTAAAATAGGCTATATTTATCAAATTCAAGAGGGCAATGACGCGAGCAACAGCTAGTCTAAAATAATCTAAGTAGTCAATGTGTCTTCAGACTACCCTTTACATGTATGCTGAACTTAATCGAGATCGGTTCAGTAGTTAAGCCTACAAATTCTAATAAGCATCCATTTAAAGTGACGCATTTATACTATCAGTATGAAGTAAGATGTTCGTGTCTAAATATGATAACGTCTATTTGTAACAACTATTTTTAGTCGCCATTTCGTCGTATATGTTACTGTAATAAATCATATAAATCATATAATTCTGGGAAACTATGATCCATGTACGGCGTAGCTTAAAGTTGACAGCTAACATGACAAAGCTTTTGAAGTAGTGGCCATGCCGTGTCGCCTCTCTCTAAGAAAAATTAAACGCAAAAAATTCTTAGAAGCTGTGAGTAAGAGATGACTGGATGAGCTTGTGGTGGGGTCGTTGTCTATTTTTTAAAAATAGGTCACATAAAATCATATTTTGTAGAACATTACCATTTCCGGTCATTGCTATATGTCTTCTATTTCACTGTGTCTTACTGAAATTATAAACGCAAAAGTTAAGATGGATGTATGTTTGTTTGTTAGAATTTACCGCCTAAACCACTAAATGGATCTCGCTGAAATTTGTAATATATGTAGAGCATGATCTGGAAGAACACACAGGCTTCTTGCTTTTATTTTCTTTAATTACACGCGGAAGGAGTCAAAGTTAGTGATTAATAAACTGGTAGATGAGACACTGAGAATAGTTACCTCTCTGGCTCTATTTGTTGGTCTTTCAAATATATAGTTTAAGTATTTGCTTGTCTTATTTTTTAAAATAACAAAAATGTAATATACTAAGTCCTAACAAGAACAAGTTTACCAAACTTAGTAAATTACTTTCGTTTCCTTTCATGTGACATGTTTCAAATGCGGATTAAATTACTCTATTAAAAGCGCTCTTTGTTGTAAATGTTTCGCCTCAAAACTTAGTCGACAAACCCCACAAATTCCATTTGACGGTATCACAAAAGATTTCATAATATACAAGTTATAAGCCGCGACAATGTCTAACTTTCTTAGAGCACAATAGTTCTATTTTAAACAAACATTTTACTGTCTTCACTTTGAAGATTTATTCTTTATTCAAATGTATGGCTTCCTTCTTAGATACAATTTACACTACATCGATATGACAGTGGCATCGATATTGACAGAGGTAGAGCCCGCTTTAACATCTTCGCACGAATGGGCCGGCTCGCCCGGTGTAATACCACGACCACACAGAAAACAGGCGTGAAGTGGAACCAATTCCGCGTTTCGTCTGATGAGTGTGGTGCCGGAGGCCTAATTTTAGTGCCTTTCCCTTTCCACCCTTTTCTTAAGAGGAAAGGATGGGAAGGAAAAGTAGATTTGACGGTGGAGGAAAGGCATAGAAAGGGGAAATGTCCTCTTTATGTGCGTCTCCTACACCGTCAACTAAGGGTAGGCAACGCATCTGCAATTGCGGATGTTTATGGGCAGCGGTCGCTTTCCATTTCGGTGGATTCAGGTGGCCGCTTGCTCGTTTGCCACCATATGTTAAAAAAAAATATATTTAGGTATATTGGTAAAATAGTAAGTAGCCTATGTGTTCTGCCGTACTATTGTCTACATATAAGCCATCGTCACCCGTTTTCAAAGTTACATACGTAGCAAACATTCATCCATTAAAAAAAAACATGCATACTTAGAGTGTGCGCACATCTGAAATTTAATTATGACACAACTGTTTAGTCTCGCTTTGATTCCTATAAGCTTATATGGAGGTGCCCACATTACTCGATTTTTAGTTGTGCAACTAAACAGTTGAATTGGCTGCGAAACAATCGACAATCGCGCAACAGTTGTGCGATAGTTTAGTTCGAGTTTTAGCCGCTCTTAATGATGCCATTGTGATAAATTAGAAATCAAAAGATTGGTTCTATTTCTCTACTATTTTATTTAAAAGTACTATTACATTGTTACTTGTTACATTTCAAACATTACTCAGGACCAAAAGCCTTATCGATGTGATAATAAATGCCTCTCAGGACCTTTCTGAAACCTCCTCTAAAACAAATGACACATTTTCTAATTCTATTCTGATTTGACAGTTGTTTTCTAGAATCTTCTATAACGGTGTTACTTCTGCGATGAATACGCACTTCAACGATTAAAGTTACTGCTGCAAAGAAAAAAAGAAGTAAAATGGAAACCCTTTTAAGAATCGTTGCAGTTTATTACTAGCTGTTGCCCGCGACTTTATCCGGGTGCAATTAAAATATATAACCTATTACTCATTGATACCGTAGCTTTGTAATGGTTAAAGAATTTTTGTAAGTAGTTTTTATGTTATAATAATACATACAAAAAAGAAAATATTTCCTCTTGATTATGTTAAGTATTTGAATATAAAAATACATACCGGCTAAATGATAGCCAATTCCTAAAAGACAAAACGCTCCCCGAAGCATCACAAGTGAGACTGGTTCTAGGCCAATTGTAGATTCTGATTGCATCTGTAAAAGAGAAAGTTATTGTGTAGTTTTTTATGCTTTTCTCAATCAGCGCTTGACCGCGATCCCACCTTTAATTAAGTGGTAATGTGGTCGAAGGATCCGCGTAAATATCTCGAATATAGTTTAAATGGTTAATTTATTTCATATCTCACTTGAGAGTTAGCAACAGAATCTCCCGTTACGTCCGCATTCTCTTTGTCACTTTCAGTAACCGGTTCAGATCTTCTCGATTGTTCTGGAAGGTTCTTGTATTCGTCTTTCGTTACTTTTGCTAGAATTCCTGCTTCGAAGAGATTCATGATCCTAAGGGATTTGATTGGAAGATTTTTTTAGATCTCTCATGTTTCATTGGTGTTGAGAACTATTACATTTTATAATATACAAATAAAACTTTTCTGTTTTGAAACAGAGAATAAATATAGGTGAAATAAAAAAGGAAATATTTGCCACCGACAAAACTTACACATCATTAAAAGTTTCGAGGTAGGGACATCCGATTTGCAGCGCGATAGCAGAATATCTAGTGTATAACTTTTCACTCAAGTGAAAATTATGAGATCCTGGAACACAAAATAAGTACCTACATATTTAATAAGCATTGCAAAATTCTGACACAAAAGATTTTAACTAAACATGGATTGAATCATAACAAGAACATTATGCCTTTTGCCACTATTTAAGATTTTTGTTATTTAAACCGATCTGTCTTTCCCTTATTGAATTTGTCTTATACAATGAGTAAACATATGTATTCTTAGGCTTTTTCCTTTCCAATTGTATACTACATTTCAAGTAAATTACCAAAACGTTCAGTGTCGTAATACAAAGTTTCTCTCCCCCCGAGCACGGCGATTCTCTTGTGAGCAAGTACGAGCCTCACTCCAACTTCTACGCTACGGACACGTTGCAATTTCTGACGACGCATCAGTTTGGCTAAGCGTCCGTACACACCAGTACCATTCTATAACAAAGAAATTTTCCTGCATCAGACAGAAAAAAGGCATTGTAAACTGTTGGTTCAGATTCATTTAAGCTCTTTCTAGTCTTCTTATCATCTAATGAATAGACTATGTATTTTACCTCTAAAATAGTGAGAGAAGAACTATGCCTTTCTACCACCAGTTCATACTTTCTATCTCTCATCGCTTCTTCTAGACCTTCAAGTGTGCCAATCGGTTGCTCTCTAGCCGGCCGGGCGAGTAGACTGGTGAGGTTCGCTGAGTACATATCTCCGATCACGTAGGTTGCACCGAGGGAAATTAAGACTGATACTAAGCGAGCTTTATGAGTACTGGATGGTTCTTTACTTGAAGCTGTTCAAGGGAAAAAAAGAATATTACTTTTAGAATGTATTCAGTATTGGATGTGTAAGCTTGTTTAGTTTTTTTTAGGCAGGGTCTAAGTTCTTTTTTTAAAATAAATATTGTTTATGTCTACTTCTAAAGAAAAAAACACTTACATTGTCTTAAAAAGAGTGTAGTTGTGAACCAACAACAGTCATTGAATAGCCCGAGTTGATTTTGACGTCGACGTTGCCAGAAAGTTGGCGCTGCAATCACAATCCACAACGCAGGTCCGGTGATCAGTAATGTAGCGAAGACTAAAGGCCACACCTTAGGGATAGTGTCAACAATTCTTTTATTAGAATACCTGAGTTCTACATATTAACAAAAAAAAAAACTTCTACTCAACGCTTCTCTTTAACAGGATTCCAAAGTTTAAAAATATGAGCTTCTCTAGCAAACTAACAGTTGATATTTGTTAGATCGTGCGCACACCTGAAACAAAACTATCGTACAACTGCTTAGTTCCACTTTGATTCCTATAAGTTTTTATGGAGGTGCACACACTACTCTTTCAGCTGTGCAACTAAACAATTGGCTGCGAAACAATCGACAGTCGCGCAATAATTGTTGATATTAGTTTCAGGTATGCGGACGTTCTTAATATTATACTTACTTCCCATCTAAAAGGTCTTATTATTGCTAGAGTTTCACTCAGCTTGGCGGGCGCGTGAGTTAGGAAAGCGCCAGAATCCGCAAGAGTTACGAAAGAGAATTCCACGGCTTGCAATCGCTCCCAAGTTATTGTAACATCTCCGATGAAAAAATCCGCTTTCTAGATATTAACAGAAACTTCTTTGGTTAAAAATAATTCGATAACATCTCTGAGATTTTTTTTTATAATATATGGTGGCAAACGAGCAAGCGGCCACCTAAATCCAGCGAAATGGAAAGCGACCACTGCCCATAAGCATCCGGAATTGCAGATGTGTTGCCTACCCTTAATTGATGAAGGAGGAGAGGCACGTAAACGTAACGTCTAGAAGGTATAAAAATGTTATCTTAATCATAAAATTGGTCAATTTCATCTTTAGGAATACTTACCCGTTTCCAAATTAATCCAAGAGTTCCTTTAAATGTACCGTTAACAGAAATACTTGATCCTTGGCTTCTTTCAGGCGGATCGTAATATTTGTATCTGTTTATATAAGGCAAATTAATAAATTTAAAATTTTAGTTTATGTTAATGTTTATTCAAGTTTTACTACCTGAAATTTAACCTCTTTGCTATTAAGGCTAATAATTTGTCATCACGGCCTCCAGTTACTTCGACTGTTGAGTTGTTATTATATCTGACAAAGTGCCACGGAGGTGCCTGAAAGAACTAAGCGTTATTTATATAAACTGTTAACAACAAGTACAATTAAAAAAAAAACGTACATGTAACACAGGTACATTAAAGACGCGTCCTTGAAAGTTTTTGTAAACAATATTAGCTGGCGGTAGGACAGGTAACCTGTATATTTTACCTGCCCACCAGTTAACTAAGCCAAGATGGTTCAGTCGGTTTGGAGTTGCCTGGTTATAGTATATTCTGAACCTGGGAAAAAATAAAAGACTTTTATGAATATTTTATAAACTGTTCTTATGTCCTCAATTGTAATATCTCTCATCAAATAACAATTCTGTAAACATGTAACTTACACACTTTCCCTGGGGTTTGTAATAACAGCCACTCTCATCGCTTCTTTCATAGCACCTCTGAATCTCAGACTGATTTCACCGACAGGCCAATAAAATATGTAGAGAATCGATCGATGGATGAAATTATTAATGGTAAACTGTGGGTGACAAAGAATGTATTGATACAGTTTTTTTAAAATGTCTACACTTTCTTTAACTTCAAGATAATTGTAGTTTACCTCTAGAAGTAAATTTTCGCATTCATTTGGCTGACAGAATATGAGGCTTGTTCGTTCATTCCAAGTATCTAGACCTTTCTTTAGAAATTTGAAAAACTGTAAATTAGATTCCTGTTTGTGAAATTAGTTGGGATATAACAAGAGACTATGTCAAGTTTAAAATAGATATTCATTTACAGTTATTAGAGGAAGTAGAGAAATTAAGGAGTAAAAGGTTAGCTTGGTATTAGTATTTTATGGGAAGGGATGAATTGCATGTAATAAGAAGGACGATCGTTATGAGTGTGGTACACCGGTAGAGGTAGACATAAAAAGAGATGGATGTATTGCGTGAAAGGTGACATGACCAAAAAAGGAGGGATGACTGAGATGACGGATGATAGAGTTATTTGGAGGACGAAAACCCGATAAGTTAGGGGAGACGGTGATGATGATTCACAATTCTTACTTACTGATGATTTATTCTCTTCTGTGGTTAGATCCATATTTACTACTTGTATATTATTATCATTTAGACGACAAATTAGTTCAAAAATATCGCAAGACCTAGAAGACAGATTTAAAATTAAAACTATCACATAAAAATCAGTTAATAGTGACAAAGTGTATTTTTTTTTCACTGGAATACCTGATATTAGTCGAGTTTCCTCTTACTATTGTCAAAGATTTAGCCGGAATGCCCTCAGCGATGTTTGTTACAGCAAGTGAAACGTCTTTAGGAAGTTTCGTTAAAGTTTCCGGTGCTATATCAATGATATTTAATAAAGCAGAACAATAAGACAGACAAGCAAATAATATTAAAACATTATTGTTCATTTTTAAAGTAATAAAATTAAGCAATGTAGAATAGAAATGCTGTTCCAGTAAATATTGATGTTAACTGGTAAAGCAATCCATAATTTCCTTCAGATATTTCTCTACTATTTCGTGTCATAGATTATGTAGAAAATAGACGTAAAATGTATTAATTTTTGCTCTTAACCATTCATGTACTCTCAGACAGTTATCGTGAAATCTGTTGTTGGTACAGATCTGTTTGATTTACATTAAAACATATTTAATTTTCTTTGATTTGTCATTCTCTCGTGGTGTTATATTTTATTTTCAAAGGGATACTGCCACAAAATTCTTTTATGAATACATAAACAGTTCTTTAGTGTAGGTTCCTCATAAACGTTAAGTGATTTCTTAAATATTTTCGATTCTTAACAGTTACTTGGTCGTTTAATCTATGACCTATTACAATGTCCATCAAAATGAATCCGACGGCTGCTTAAATATTGTAAGACAATATGACCTGGCATTTATCATTGAAAAGGTTAAATTTGACGTGCATAACTCGTAAATTGTTACTATTTAATTAATATTTGAAACGATTGTAAGCATTTTTTTTATAACATAAGGTGGCAAACGAGCAAGCGGCCACGTGAAATCGCCAAAATGGCGAAGCGACCGCTGCCCATAGACATCCGCAATTGCAAATGCGTTGCCTACCCTTATCTGACGGAGGAGGAGCCGCACATAAACAGTATATTTTCCCTTCCTGTGCATCTCCTCCACTGTCAAATCCACTTCCTCTTCCCAACCTCTCCTAATAAGAAAAGGGTGGTCAAGAGAAAGGGACTTAAATTAGGCCTCCGGCACCACACTCATCAGATGAAACACGGAATTGTTTCCATTTCACGCCTATCTTCTGTGTGATCGTGGTATTACACTGGGCGTGCCGGCCTATTCATGCTAAGATGCTAAGCGGGCACTACCACTGTAGTATAGCATATTGGCTATATAGTATTTAAAACCGACTTCCAAAAGGAGGAGAAAGTAAACCCCTTGCATGTTTTTATACAGAAATTACAACTCACCTACATGATACGAAATGTTAGCAAATTACGAAAATAGTGAACCATTTATAATTAAGGCAATTCGATATTATCATTATCACCAGCTCACTATATGTCCCCACCGAGGGGCTCGGAGCCTACCCTAAATTAGGGTGACTAGGCTACAGTCAACCACGCTGGCCCACAGCGGGTTGGTTGGCTTCACACTTATCTTTGAATTTCTTCGCCGATATGTGATGGTTGCAAAACGATGTTTTCCTTCACAGTAAGAACGTCGAGTAAATTATGTACATATGAAAATTCGAAGAATCGAAAATCACTTTGGTACATGGCGGGATTCGAACCCAAGACCTGTAGATTACAAGTCAAGTGCTTAAACCACTGAGCCACCGACGCTCTTAATTCACAGATATAGTTATTTATTCCTAGATATAGATTACAATTCACCTATGTGATCGAAATGTTAGCAAATTACAAAAATAATAAACCATTTATCATTAAGGCAATTCGGCATTAAACTTATAAAAACGAACTCCTTTATTTAGTAAGGAAAACACTACTATTAGGTCCGGATTCCATTGGAAAATACTAAAATAATACAATCCTACATTTCCTATGTAAACGTACAAATTACTCGGATTAACAAGGTAATAACTGTGTCTAATGAATTTAACCGAATTCGATGAACGCTTTAATTACGTCCCTAACGAGACAGCTATTATTATGACGTCCATTATCCGACAAAATTAACAGATCATTAGCGAAATTATTCTGTCATCAAGAGCCGAAAGACGCATATTCCAGTTTTAAGAGCTGTAATACTGAATGGCTTTCATTATTAAAGAATGTTTTTACTGGTTATTTTATAATACTAATTGTGTTGCGTAACAAATGATTACGTTTATCCATGTCTCTACTTAATATTATAAACATTTGTATTTTTGTATGTATTGAAATAACTCAAAAACTACTACTAGGCCGATTTAAAATTTATGTCGCCTAAAAGCTACGTTATCAATGAGCAACATAGCCTATCTTTTTTATAATTTTTTTTTTAATTTCGCGGGTACGACTAGTCAATAATTAACAAATGTATTCTAGAAATGTCGGAATCTAGAAAATAGTGAAATAAAAAAACGAAAGTATAATTGATTGACATAATATTCCGGAATTGAGGACATAGCACGAATTTCTGTGAGAAAGTTTCATTCGTAACGTTATCGACAAAATTTGTATCATATTTGAGAATAATCATTTTGTATTAGCTTGTCAGGTTTGTATCAGGCGTAAAATACATTGACAAATTTTATCGTTGACGTTACTCATACTTTTCCCAAAATTTCGTGCTTTGATCCAAATAAAATTGATTAAACTAATAAACCGTATATTTCAAAATGAAAGACAAGAGTGAAATATTCTACTAACAATTTATAAAACATTGCACCTAGTAAAAGTTCACAAGCGTTGCATTGTATGTAGCTTTAAAATTTCTAGAAAATTAACACCACGCAACGGGCCGCTGTAAGGCTGCGGGCACGTTAACGACGTTAACGACGAGCAGAGCGGCTCGATAAATCTCAATCACTGATCTATATAAATAGACAAGTCTTTTCTGGGATGAATGGAATATCCTCTTTTCGTTCGTCCAGATTTTAACGAAGCTTGTGATTTTAATGAAAATTAATCCTATCTTTCAAATCTCTACACCGACACGTTAAGTTGACGAAAATCAAATAGGCACAAAATACCAAGTCTTATAGCCTATCTATTTATAGAGATCAGTGAACACAAAATTGACACGAGTACCAAAAGCGAGAGCGGAATAGTACTTTTGTTTGCACCGTTCCGCTCCGCCTGTCGCTCCGCACCGTCGCTAACAGCGTGCCCACAGCCTAACGGACTTTGTTAATCTTTTTTATATCTGCCAGCTACAGTAACGTACTTTAGCGTGCAAACAAGCGCTTTACAGAGATCTGATTCTACGAATTTGAATTAAGTTAACTAAAATTTAAACTTTAATTGCATTTGAAATTTAGTGGGATCTTAATTTATAAAGTTAATTTACACTTTAACGAAAAAAAGGTATTTAGTTTTGGTGGTAAGATTTAAGTTGATAAGATCTACAATATCCCGTGATTGGTAACAAAGAGATAGCACAAACCTTAGAGATATTAACTGAATGTTTACAAAATCCTACCCTTATATTATTTGGGTAAAAGTGACCCTAAGCGTACCGAACCCCAATCATACTATCTGCTTTAGAATGATTAATTTCCTTGTAATTCAGTATCAGTGGGGCTGTCAACAGAGGGCGCTGTAAGACACCTTCATTAGAACTGATACAACTTTATACAATTTTCGCGCCAAATTTATGTGTGAAATTGTTTTTTTTAACGTTTTGATGTTAACAAAAGAAATTTTAGTTTACAATATTATTCAGGAAAAGAACTATCCTAAATAATTTATTCAGATTTGTAAATTTTATAAGAAATATACGAAATATTTCAATTGAAACAATATTATTCTTTTCCTTCTGGAGCTGAGCTTAATTTGTAAATTTCCTTTGGTACAGTAAAATATGTTCCGGTCAATTCACAATCGTCTATCGGCTCGATTAAATTACGGTGTACGTGCTGGGAGGAAGCTTTGTGCGTCTTCTTCGGGACTGTACAATTCACAGGAATATAGACAGTTATACTTAGAATTTGTTATTACTTTTGTACAAGACTGTACTCGTAGTTACACAGGTACAGTGGACAAGAAAAGTGTTGTTTGTGACATTGTTTTAGGTATGGATGGTAATTCGAATGAGGAAGAAAAACTGTTTAAAACTGCATTTGTTTTGTTTTCGTTTGTTTTTGTTTTGTTTCGCAAACTTCGTTACCGCAAATTTGGACCATCCTTTACGACATTTTGACAGCGCGAATTTTAAAAAAAAAGTTGCCTATAATATACCTATCCAAGTCGGCTACCCTCCAGTGAAAGTCTGGTAGAAATCAGCACAGCCGTTTCGGAGAATATCCGGAACAAACAAGGCTTGCGGACAGACAGTCAAAAAAATTAAAAGCGATTTTTGCTATCAGCACCGCTAGTACATAATCTTCCTGAAATCTGGAATTTTTCTTCTGATGTTACAAACAGACACTCCAATTTTACATGTATGAAAGATAGATAGTTACAAATATCGCCAAATATCGCCAGTATTCCAAGTTCTTAAGCTATTTAATAATATTTGTAGTTATATTATAAACTGAACATTTAGTTGTCTGAATGTTATCTATAATAACGTCTTGTTCTGTCTCCATGTCCATATTTAATGAAATCCCTGACGATAGCTATATTCTCGGATTGTTTGCGAAATGCGATAGATGTCGCTGAAATTAGTTTCCGGTCTCGGCCTGGTGGTTACGTCTTGTTGTTTCTTAATTGATTTATGTACCCCATTTCCTTAAAGGGTCAAATTTAATAGATTTGTTGCTTTTAGAAATCATACACGAAATTTAAGTGTTAGTTATAATTGTGAAATTGTCATAGATAATACAGTATGTGAATTTTTATATTTTGACATTTACTTTAAACACTATTGTCTACTATATTAAGTGTTTAGCGTTCTATGAAATACACTAGAAACATACAGGTAATCCCCAGTTTCTAAGTGTTGAATTTTATACACAAGTTTTTTTCATACATATAATAAAATTGGAGTGTCTGTTTGTATCAAAAGAAAAATTCCAGATTTCGGGAAGATGCTGTATTTGTATCGCTGATAACGAAAAAAAGCATTTTTTGTCTTTCTGTATGTCTGTCCGCAAGCTGCATTTGTTCCGGGTAATCTCCGAAACGACTGGGCCAATTTCGACCGGACTTTCAGTGAAAGGTAGCTGATATAGATGGGCATATTACAGACTACTT